GGGGGGAGGGACAAAGGGTTTAGACGAAAGGGTGAGAGGTTCTATTTTCCTTTTAAATTAAATATGGTTTAATTTTAATTCTTATTGTTAGTCACGTGTCAAATATTAATTGGTTCTTAAAATAGTCTTCGAATGTGTATTACACGAGATGTGGGTTGATTGGGTCAGGTATTTACTTGATACACTTTATAGCCACTTGAAGTGTCTAACTGGAAATGGGCTCAGTTGAAGTGCTCAGTTGGTCGTTGGGGATAACTTAACGGGCCGTTTATGTATTTTGCCTTTATTTAATATAATTTCAAAGTATTAAGTAACTAAGACAATTCATAAAAAAAATTCAACGCTTAGAGCCTTTTATTTTATTAATAGAACTTTAAAATCTCACATACAAATATAATTCTTTTGAAGAGCACCTAATCTACACAGCCACCTTCTAGGAAGGGTTCTGTTTGAACTAGGCCTCTTAGTAGCCAATTGCAAATTATCATACTAATATTTGTAAGCTCCTATATAGCTTCTTTGTAACTTATCAATAACATCTCTTGGACATTGTTCTGGAATTGACAATGTTGATTGATGTTCCATGAGCTCCATGTCGTCATCGTTCCCAGTGCTAAGTATTTCATTGTATTCTTCTTCTTCCCTCGTGTTAATTTTTCAAAACGAAGATTTCTTCTTTCTGAATTAATCCAATCTCTGAATAATACGAAAATCTTTAGATTGTCCTCCGCTAATGCATGTCTATAATCTCCAATTTGAAATCTTGTCGCGCTAAAAGCACTCTCCGATGCTACTGATGATGCTTGAATAGCCAGGATATCTCGGGCCTTTATTAAAAGTGTTTGAAAAGCCTTACCACACTCCCTCCACCATGCTAAAAGTTGTTCGTTGCCTTCTTCGTCTTTAATACTTTCCAATCCTTGATTAAGATAAGAATCAAGTTCATCATCAATAGAGGAATCAAAACCTGTTGTATCATCCATATCTTCCCATAAAACTTCTGCTCTAGACTTAGAAGTAGAAGGAGCAGTTTCACAACCTGTTGTTTCCATAGATATATATTTATCAAACATTGATCTAGCATAAAAATATATGCTAGCTTGGCATTCTTCAAGAGATGGTTGTTCATTTTCTTGAATTGCTAAATTCTCATAAATTTTACGAATAAGTCCCTTTGCACCTCTTAGTTTTAAAGATGGGTTAAGTAGAGTAGAAATTAAATAAACTTGGGGAATAGGGAAAAAATACTTTTTAAATTTTGAAACCATTTCATTAATGGCCGGTGCATAAGTTGGATTTGTTTTATACTTACCAAATACAACAGAAATTCCACAAATATACCATAATATTTGTGTTACACTAGGATAATATATACCAAAAATTTATTTTGTAGCATAATAAAATTTTTATAAAAATTTAGTAAGCCGTTTGATCTCATCCCAATCAAAATCAACAATTTGATCGGCGGGGATACCATTATGCATATTAAATACCTTTTGGATGGGCACCGATAATCATAAGCAAATTTAAGCATTTCATAAGTAGAATTTCACCTAGTACAAACATCTTTTGGAACTTTTCTAAATGGAAGGTTAGCACTAGCACATTGTTGAGCAAACTCACGAATTCTACTCGCTAGCACGAAAAATATAGGCTTTACTACAAGCATCAGAAAATAAATTAAGACCATCTTTTACAACCAAGTTAAAAATATGGCATGCACTTCTAACATGAAAAGTTGCTGGATTAATTGGATAAAGTCTAATTTTTAAGCTATTTGCTGCGGTTGTGTTAGTAGAAGCATTATCTAAGGTGATAGTTAAAACTTTATCAATGAGTTCATAAAAATCAAGTATTTGTAGAACAGTAGTTGCAATATATGCTCCAGTGTGTTTTGAACCAACAAATTTATAACCGATAATACGTTTTTGCATGTTCCAGTGATGATCAACCCAATGACATGTAATAGTTAAATAATCATAACCATTAGGACTACGACCTATATCAGATGTGATAGACACTTTACAACCTAAGTGAAAAAATACATAACGAATATACTGAAGATATTCGGTTTGAAATATAAAAACATCATTTCTAACTGTGGTCTTAGGAAAACCTTGAAAAGCAAGGTGAGAAGGAAAAGTAAAAGGTAAGCCATAGACAGCCACCATTTTTGCTAAGTTCGCACGATCTCTATCTTTGTTATAGGGGCGTAAAACAGTACCAGAAGCAGGGTCAAGCTGTTGTTGTACAAAATTAGAACCCCCGCTAGATCCACTAAGAGTGTCAGTACCGGTGGTAGGATCTATAATTTTTTCCGGCTTCTATTTTAGCTTGTATCGATAAAGATTTGTGATCCTTAAGTAAGTGTCTGGTTAAACCTCCCGTCCCGCCACTTTTTGTGTGTGCAAATTGTTGCTTACATTTTTCACATATAGCACGATGATTGACTTTATCATGTTTAAAAATTTCCTATACAAGTGATTTTGGGACGTTCAACCTTAGGCTTACCCCTTACAGGGGGTACAGGGGGTAAAGCTCCAGTACTTGCCCCAAATATTGCTCCAAATACTTGACGAATTAATTTGAAGCTTGAAAGTTGCTCCAAAAATTTGCCGAATTACTTGAAAGTTATCACTTGATAGTTGATAGTAACAAAATTGAGAGAATAATATAGGTAGAATGTAAGAGATTTGAGAGGGGATGATCGATTTTTTGTGGGAAAAAATGAAGAAGGATGGTGGGTATTTATAATAGAAAATAGGGCCAAAGTGTAATTTCATAAACTTAGGAGCTATATTAAAAGTTTGGGGGAGGGGTAGGGGGTGTTCTTGGGGGGGGGGGGGGAGGCCATTTTTGACCGTTTTTTGCCGTTGGGAACGCCTATTTTTGCAATTGAAGCCATTGCCCAATGGCTAAAATTCAAAAAAAAAAAAATTCGCGGGACAGGCGGGACGAAACGGTCGTCCCGTCCCATCCGGTGTCTTTAACATTGGCCAATCCCGTTTAAAATAAAGTGGGCCGGGACGGGACGGGCCCATTGGACAGCCATAGCCTAGAGGAGGAAGAGCAAAAAGTATTTTGTATTCTGAAAAATGAAACCCCACCACCTTTTGTTTTAGAAGAATTATGTACTAGACCTTAAAGGGGCGAATTTCACTAGAAATATCTAATTTTAATATGGTGAAGATATATATATGTCATATACATCTTTTGTAGCCAAAAAAAAAAAAAAAAGGAATTCCATAAGAATGCAGATGAATTGGATGACTTCTGGTTTTAATGTGCCTTTTTGTCATGTGCCATTCAAGATCATGTAGATTCTATTTCAGTTCGCAAAGCAGGAAAGGATACTACTACTACTACTACAATATTGCCTCAATTCCAAACAAGTTAGGGTCGGCTATATGAATCCCCACTGACCATGTTTTCACCCGGCAAGAATGTCGGCTCAAAACCTGAGATGGTATTTTGGGATGATCTGCAGAAATATCCGCAATCCAGTAAAGGGAGCTATGAGCCTATGACTTCTCAGTAGAAAAACAACATAAAATAAAATGAAGCCTGCATTGTTTCTGTATGTTTTACTTCAATACTATAAGAAAAGGAAATACATAAAGCTGGTAGAACTTCAAATGAAATCTTTATTCCTCCTATTACATGTTGGTGTAGCAGTGTAGCTACTGATTTGGGTTCTGAATTAGGTTATTTCAGCCCATTTGTTTTGGAGCTTACAAATGCTGTCTCAACACCAAAAGAGGAAATAACAAATCTTGAAAAATCCAGAAAGAGAGTACATGAAGAATGATACTCTTTTACATTAGTATACAATTGATATACGTGAAATAAGCTGTTCAAATTTACAAATATCACTTGACTGATGACCCAAAGCCTTCTCTCTTTGAATTATTTTACAACATGGAGCAAAAGGAAAGGAAATTTTTCCAAGTTGGAATGTAGCTAGACTTTTCTAATGGTCAGTCAGATGATGTTGCTTGATCATAGGTTTTTGTAAAAGATGGTTGTTCTTGAAACCTTCACAATAGCATTCTCGAACCTAAATTGTCAGCCCCTAAATAGAGACCAAAGAGACTGAGGAAATCAACATGCCTGTACTGTTGAATGGTTTTACAGAAATCAGGAGTTCAATTTTGTCAAGATCTGCAAAAGCCTGTGTAAAGTATGATCAGCAATTCACACAATCCTTAGCATAAGCCTAATGGAGTTTGCTGACCATTATAGAGAATGAATCACTTGCTCATTGAAAGTCAGACACCATCCTCTTCCATATCTGATCGAAGAAATTTCCATGGTCCATCTCTTGTTTGTAACCTGCTATTCACAAGTACTTGTCAAAAATTTCTTGCTGAAAGGTAACACTATAGAAAAGAAAAGGCTATGACATGAACATAGCGATTTAGACCATTCTCCATTTAATGGTGACTTAGAGGCATAACCACTTGGCCAGTAACTAGGCCATATGAGAGTTCTTAAAGCTAATTGTACTAAAGAGATTAATAATGATCATTGGAGAGATTCATAACCTGCATTACCAAAAATAGATTTTGTTCACCTTGCTGCAAGTGGCATATTATGACTCAAACACTCAAGGACAAAAATCAAATAAACCAAGCAAAAGCCATTGCTTTTTTCCTAGAAATATACAGAAATCTAAGGCTTTGATTCAACCTACAACTTTCAAACAATGAATTTTTTTTTTTTTGAAAAGGTAACATGTTTGTATTAATATAAAAGGTGGCATACACTAAACCAGTGTATCCATCCATAATTACAAGAGGGAGTACAGAAGAGATTCTTGTTCTATTCTAGTCTAGTTCTCTGTTGAATCTCATAAAAAGTCTAAAACTTCAAAAATACTTTCACATTCTTCTAAATACTCCTGTTTACACCAAAAAAAATAGAGCACTAGACAGCTCATCTTCAGCTTTTGTATAGGACTATGGCTGTCTTCAAAACATCTTTGATTCCTTTCCTTCCAAATTGTCCACCATATACAAGCAGGGACAATCTTCCATCTCTCTTTCTGACTGGATTGTTCACCATCTCTTTTCCAGCTAGCTAGAACTTCCCGAATTCTTCCAGGCATGACCCATCGAATCCCCCTCAGGTTGATGAATATCTTCCATAGTTGGTCAGTGACTCTGCAGTGCAGAAAAAAAATGGTTAACTGTCTCCTCATGTTCTTCACATAAATAACATCTGGATCCCAACTGATATCCTCTCTTGATGAGGTTATCTTGTGTCAGGATTGCCTCTCTTGCTAAAAGCCAAGTAAAACATGCAACTTTGTATGAGATGTTAACTTTCCATATCAACTTCCAAGGCCAACAACCAATTTGGTTGTTAGAATGGTTGTACTCCTTATAAGCTGATCTAACAGAGAATCTGCCTTCTCTACCCCCTTGCCAGATCACACGATCCTCAATATTGGAAGTTCCTTTGAATTGTACTAGAGTGTTATAGAAAGCTATCAATCTCTGAATTTCCCAATCGTTTAGTAGTCTTCTATAAGTGAGGTTCCACCCTTGGCCTGTCCACACCTCTGCAACAGATGATCCTTGTTGTTGATTCAAATTGAAAATATCCGGAAAAAGTTGCTTCAGTGTTCTTTGCCCAAGCCATATATCTTCCCAAAAAGATGTTTTCATTCCATTTCCAACTTTGAGGCTGGATTTGTTACTGAGTTTAGGCCAAAAATTTCTTATCGACCTCCACAAACTTACCCCATAGGGACTATTTACAGGTTTAGTTGTCCAATTTCCTTCCATCCCATACCTTGCCTTGATTACATTCTTCCACAAAGATTGCTCTGTTGTGGCAAACCTCCATAGCCACTTCATCATCAAACTTTGGTTCTGGATTTTCAGATTCCTGATCCCCATTCCCCCTTCCTTCTTGCTGGCTGTAAGGATATTCCATCTGACCAGATGGATTTTGTTCTTTTCACTGCTGCCTTGCCATAGGAAGTTTCTTCTCAGAACATCAAGTCTTTTCACTACACTTGCGGGCATTGGGAATAAGGACATCATGTAAGTAGGCATGGCGTCAAGAACACTGTTAATGAGGGTTAATCTTCCTCCCAGGGATAGATATTGGCTCTTCCAACTAACTAACTTCTTCTCACATTTCTCTACTACTCCATTCCATATCCCCTTTGATTTGCTTTTTGCCCCTAGTGGCATTCCAGATAAGCAGTTGGCAGCACTCCTATTCTACCTCCAAGGATTCCCACCAAGCTATGTATCTCCATTACTTCATTAACTGGATAGATGAAACTCTTATTCCAGTTAATGTGTAATCCAGATATAGCTTCAAAAAGGATGAAAACCACTCTCAGAGATAGCATTTGATCCCTACTAGCATCACAAAACACCAGTGTATCATCTGCATATTGCAGATGTGTGATTTCCAATAATTCTGATTGCCTAGATTTCACCCTGAACCCCCTAATCCTGTTGTTAGCTTTGGCAATTTTAAACAAGTTGTTTAAACCTTCCATTGCAAGAATAAATAAGAAGGGTGACATAGAGTCCCCCTGTCTCAATCCTCTTTGAGATGAGAAAAATCCAACAGGTGCACCATTAATCAGAATGGAAAATTTTACAGAGCTAATGCAGAATTTGATCCAGCTGATCCACCTTTCAGCAAAAGCCCAACTTCAGCAAAATTCCCAACAAAAACTCCCAGTTTAGGTGATCATATGCCTTTTCTATGTCCAACTTACACAGAATGCCCCGGATTTTTGCTCTTCATTCTAGCATCTACACACTCATTAGCAATGAGAATAGCATCCATTATTTGCCTGCCTTTAATAAAGGCCATCTGCTGAGTATCCACCAATTTGCACATCACTTTTTTGAGTCTCTCTGTCAGAATCTTTGAAATTATTTTATAGATGCTACCTATCAGGCTGATAGGTCTAAAATCTTTCAATTCCTTAGCTCCCACTTTCTTTGGGATTAGAGCCACAAAGGTGGCATTGAAGCTTTTTTCAAAGACTCTATTTTCTTGAAAATTCTGTACAGCAGCAATCACCTTTGGACTGATTACTTCCCAGCATTTAGTGTAGAAAGCCATAGTATAACCATCGGGGCCAGGAGCCTTGTCCCCTGCACATGCTTTGACACTCTCCCAGATTTCCTGTGGTTCAAAGGTGCTCAGTAGCATCTGGTTATCCTCTAGGCTAATGGTTGGGCATTCTCTTAAGTTACATTGTGGTCTCCACTCCTCAGTCTCAGTGTATAGGTTTTGATAGAAAGTGACTATTTCCTTCTTGATGTCTTCTGGATTCTCCACAGTTTCCCCATTAACTAGTAGCTTATCAATGTTGTTGTACCTTTTGTGAACATTTGCAGTCCTATGGAAAAACTTAGTATTTCTGTCTCCTTCTTTCAACCAAATAGCTCTAGACCTTTGCCTCCATGCTATCTCCTCCTTTCTGGCAATTTCCTCAAAATCCAACAGTAAAGTAGTTTTCTTATGAATTTCTTCCTCATTCAGGATCCTAAGCTCTTGAGTCTCCTCTAGTTCAGCAAGTTGGTTGAGGATGTTCAATTTCTGCATATCCAAGTTACCTTGTGTTGATTTGCTCCACTCTTTAAGTTTCCCCTTCAAAGCTTTCAGTTTGAAAGCAAGGACATAATCTGGCCTACCAGCACAAGAGAAAGAATTCCACCAGTTTTTAATTTTGTCCTTGAAGCCTTCAGTCAACAGCCACCAGTTCTCAAATTTGAAGTAAGATTTCACTGGCTCCCAATTTCCACATTGTAGCATCAGCGGGGAGTGGTCTGAAGTGACCCTGTGCAAGATTGACTGCTTAATATTTCGAAAGCCTTCATCCCATTTCTCAGAGACAAGGAACCTATCCAACCTAGCAGCAATGTTATGATTAACCCCTTTCCTCCAAGTGAACTTCCCTCCTAGCATCAAGTCTACTAACCCCATATCCTCAATGAATCCTGTAAATTCCTCCATCGATCTAGTGAAATTATTACAATTCTTCTTCTCGGATGGAAACCTGACTGTATTAAAGTCCCCACACACTACCCAAGGCCCAGAGAATAGACCCCTAGTAGCACCTAACTCCCAGCATACTTCTTCTTTTTCAACTCTATCATTAGGAGCATATACACTAGACAAATGCCAATCAAACTCTTGTGACTTACCAATGAACTTACATGTGATGGAATACATACCCAAGCTGCTAATCTCCCCTTCCCATACCCTACTGTCCCACATGATAAGGATACCCCCCCTAGTTCCACTTGCTTCTAACTGAGCAAATTTCACCCACCTGTATGCCCATAGTTCTCTAACTATTTCCCTTATTTCCCCTTCTATCTTGGACTCCTGAAAACAATAAACATCCGCTTTCCAGCTATGAACCATATTTTTTATCAACTCCCTCTTTCTAAATCTATTTAGACCCCTAACATTCCAAGATACAATTTTGATCATCATTCACTATCAATGGCAAGATATCCCCCCTTGCTTCTAGTACAATTACTTTTGAACTTGCTCCCAATGTCTAGGTTTCTCACTTCTTTACTTCCTTTCTTTTTTGGAGTGACTGCCTCCATTGTCATCGTTGTTGACACTATTGATTCTCGTCTCTTACCATCAATCTTCATAAATAACTGAAGTGCTTCTTCCTCGCACCCTTGAAAATCCACCCCGAACTCTTTGCTCAATCTGATGATATTTTGGTGTACCCAAATTGGTGTATCAAAATCTGGGTCGTTATCTTCTTCATTGACTAGAGAGATTAGAGGTAGAGCTTCTTCTATGGCCCAATCCCCTGTTATACTCCCCTCCCCAATCTGCATGTTGTCGAATTGCTGGTGTTTTGTCGTTGAGCGTTCCTTTTCTGCACTTATCACCATGGCCTTTTCTTTGTCAGCTTGGATCGAGAAATTCTCCTCGTCAGTTCCCTCGAAAATTCCGACTTCTGCTGCCAGCGTAAGATCGTTCCTGTCATTTTCTATTGAACATTTTTGGTCCAATAGCCATAATCTCAATTAGCAGTGGATCTTTCAAAATAGGTTCCTCAGATTGGGCTGATGGATTTGGACCTTTGTAGCAATTTTCAATTGATGGGTCTGTCGATTTTGGGCCCAAACTAATTACTTGTTTGTGGCCCAAACCTTCATTAAAAGAAGCAGTAATATTCTCACGTGCCTCTGGTACACGTGCTATTTTTTTTCAAATTTTCCCCTTCCTTCGATGTACCCACGTGATTAGGGTACTGCAGTGTCGTATTAGCCCCCTTTCCTAGAAGATTTCCCCTATTAACCAACAGACTTTGCCTTCCCCTATTACCCATCAGACCTTGCCCTCCATCGTCGACCTCCCGTGAAACTACTGTTACCATCGCCGGAACTTCACACCAGATGGGGATTTTGTACAAAAACCCATCACTTTCCACTTGTATATCTCTTGGTACCTTGCTTCCATCTCCCTTCACTTTAATTCTTGCCCATCGTAGATGATTTTTGAGTGTTGTCTCCTCCTCCGTTTCAATCCATCCCCCACATTGGTCGCCTATTACTTTGAACACTGCCTCTGACCATAGATTAACGGGAAGACCCAAAAGCCTAATCCACACCCAATCACGCTTCATCTTTTCTGACCAGCAACCAGTGGTAGGTTTCCACCAATCAAGATGCACTTTGGACTTCTTCCAATGCCACTCTCCCATAAGAATATGTTCTGCCTCCTTCCTTGAGGGGAGTTCGAATAAAAACAGTGAGTCGTTCATCTCGTGCACGTTGACACTGATGGTGGATTTCCATGTGTTACAAGCCCATCTCCTGATATCGTTCAAAGTTGGAGTCTCCTTCGTGGAAGTCATGACTCTTCCTACTATACATCTGCTCAGTACATCTTTGTCCGATAGTTCTGAACCTCCAGGAATTATAACTTTGGACCTGTTGCATTTGATTGGAGAGGATCTCGTTCCTTCTGATGTCCATCTGTTAGTTCTGACTGCTTCAGTATAGGATGACTCCAGGTGAGGGTTTCTTACAGTCTGAACATTCCTTTCTATATCTGGGACATTTATGAACCTTTGAATTTTTTTGACTCTGTCTCCCCATCCTGCATTTAATGAAATTTCCGGTGTAATAATGATGGACCTGTTCTCCCCTTGTACGGCAATGAAGCTGATGTACCTACCATATTCATTGTATTTAAGATTACAATAAAATTCTGCATGGTTGTCTTTCATATTCCATCTCCTTATTGCCCTGTTGTGTTCCTTTGATGCCACATTAAATACCTCTGTCACCCATTTCATGACTTTAAGACTAACATATGCTGTCCTCTTCAGCTTCCTACTCCGTTCCACCCATTCGAACCATATTTCAGACCTAGAGCTACTTTTTGTGATGTCAAATGATTTAAATCCTGCGTTATAATAAATCGTATCGCTGCCCATAATAACGTGTGAATTAACGGAGATCAGATTAGATGGATTCTGGAAAATGTAAGAAAGAAAGGTGGTGAATTCCGGTGGGAGATCACACCGGAAAAGGTTATTCTACAGTCCTAGGAAGTAGGAGAGAGAATGTCTCGGGAAATGTGTCTGGGAGCATAGTGAAACAAATATAGGTTTCAAATAATGAATAATACAGTTAAAATGGTAAAACAAAGGCTTTTTACTATTCATTACAGCATTAAGCAACTGACTAAGACTATGCCACTTCATTAACCAAATAAAAAAACTAAAACAGCATTTACGATAAAATGCATCTTAGTTCAATTTGTAAAATTACCAAAATTCTCTCTAAGGTTGACGAAAGAGATAGACAGAGAGATTTACCTCAAAAATCCAGCTATAACACGCAAAGTCATGAAGAGAAAAAGTCCTGCCCAGACTCCAGGAAGACCAAATGAAGGCGCAGCCATAAGTAAGAAGATTGAGGAGACTAGTCCAATCAGAAACTGTTTGACAAATATAGGAAGCTGAATCAGAAGGAGAGAACGTAATCTAACGATATTTATCTTGTCGGTCATAATGTAGGACACTCCAAATCCACCATCTTTTTCCCCCCAATTGGTCCTTGGATCACATTCAATTAGATACACCAATTCAAGAATATTCAAGCAGCATCTCATTGATTGGCTAAAAGCCAGCCAACTCAAATTGAAATGTCCAGCCAACTCAAATTGAAATGTATGTTCTAGGCTTTACTTTATTCATTAGTAGCAAAGACCCTAGAACATGTAGCAACCAACTTTGGGAGTTGGGACAATAATTCATTACTATGCATAATCAGCTTCCAGGACAACTTATTGCTTGATCCTTTTTTTAACTCTTCTCTAGACGTTTCCTTCCAGGCGTCTTCATACATAGTGTTACTGAAAAATCAAAAGCCTAACCAGAAATACAAATATCATGTAAAGATTTCTTTTGTTCAACATTCTGATCACCTCATTGAACCATATAGACTGCTAAATTTTTTCCTTTTCATTTGCCGCTGGCGCTAATAGTTATTCAATTAAGGAAAAACTAAGTATATATCTAAACATTTAGTAGGTCCTCCAGTGTAAAAGTTTACATTCTTGCTTCTCACTTTGTTTCTACTCTGGCTCTATTTCTGGTTTCGCAGGTCAGAATACTATTTTCTGAAAAAAGAAGCAGAAATGTGCAATAATGTTTACCATAGAATATGCAGCAAATTCAAAGTCTGAAACACCATAATAGAGCCCATCAAGAACGAAGGCAATGGCATTTATTGGCTGAGATCCAGCAACAAACTGTCCAATAAATCATATTAATAAGAAAAGAATGAGTAGCTTATCATTCAAATATCAAGTTAATCTAGATAATGAAACCTGACAACTTTCTACAAGGTTAGAAATGACAGCTGTGTAATTACTTCTAAATGACCAAAACTATTTCATGATAAAGAAATTACCTAGCTGGTGCAAAGCAGGAATTGTAGTCTAACATAAATATATGTCAACTTTGGGGAACATGCTACAGTTTTGGGGTTCAAAATCCACCGGAAAAATGCTGAAAAATCTGGATAAGACTTTCATACCAGAGTACCATATCTGGCAATTTCCAGGACTTCAGAATCTGAGCTGAATAAGCCGGAGAGCGCTTCAAAACCAACGAACAAGCTAAAACCTAAGGTGACTCCTGTCAATGCACCAATCTGACATAATTCACATAAAGAGTAAAAGATGTAGTAAGTCCATATTCTGTTCTTAATGTTTTCTCTTAAAAGCTGAGTCAGTAATCACAGTTGAGAAATAATAAAGAGAACTGGAGACTGGAGTAGGAACCCAAGTTACCTGTAGAACTTTATAAACCACTTCTCGTGCTTGGCCATAATTACCTTGAGAAACTCCACTGGCAAGGAGAGCCTAAAAATCAACAGAATAAGAATGCAATCAAGAAAACAACGAAAGATTAAACTCCTATTTCGTAACTAAAGATTGCAGGCAATAATTCCATGGAGATTTTCTAAATATGACCTCGTTGGGAACTTCAGTTAAAGAAAAGCCTGCGACTTCATAGGTAAGTGATAACCAAAAAAAAAAAAAAAAGGAATTAAAAGAAGAGATTCAAGAGATGTAGTTCCATCTGTTACAGGGAAGCACAATTGAGGTCCTAATCACTATAAAATTGAATAGTATTTGGCTTTCACTGATGCAAAAATGGAGCTGCTGAGAACTTCTCTGAAAACTATTCAATAAAGCGATAAATAATGGAAAAGAAAAGAAAGAGTTTAGTCAAAGTATGCTCACCTGCCCAGCAAGTGCCAAGGCATCAGTTAGCAAAGATACAGCTAGCCAAACTTGAACACAGATCTGATGACCAGCCATAGGAATGGGGCCCTCTCGTGCTGCCATTGCTGTTGATAGCGTAGTGGTAATTAGAAGTGCTAAAGTCCTCCCTATTAGAAGGGAACCTGGAAAAGATAAGAACAAGCTTAACCTAAGATAGGTTTGATCTTTTATTTTGAATAAGCTAAAGCATTTCCAAGTATTCTGATAAAGTCCACAAGAGAAACTCTTAATTATCTTTCCACGAGGTTTAGACATGCGAAATTCTGCAGTCGCTCAAAGACCAAATGTTACTTTATATGTTTAGTACATGGAGTCCTTTTTCTTGAAACAGATCTAAAGAATCTATAAAAGTTGTTAGTTTCATTAAAGGGCAAGAGATTATGTTTATGCTGTATCAATTTAAAAATGCTATTGATTAAATGATATGGTTCACTAAGATTTATAAATGTGCTCATGATCAGAACAGATTCGTATATGATCTTTCATAGAGACATTGGACAATTCACTTGAATTCATGCTACATATGTATTATGTTCATATCCACCCCCCTTTTCTGTAAGCATCTAAGATAGTGGAATACATCTCAAGCAGTACAGTGACATATCCACTACAACAGGGATAAGTTTTGTTTGTTAAGTATCCTATTTGCAACATAAGGTGCTCTATCCAAATACTGATTTTCCATGCCTAAAAAGAATATATGCTCAACAAACGCAAAAGTAAAGTGGACTAGGAATTAACCAAAGGTTTCTATATCATATATATCCAGAGAGAGCATTAGTTTTTTCTTAAATTAATTCGCTGTATCTTCATCATTTTCCCATTACTCAATCTTCAAATTTGAATGAAATCATATTGACATCTTCAATCATTTTCTCATTTGAAGTATTCATCTTCAACTGTGCATGGATTTATCTACAGATATACCGATTTCAAGTTTCACTAGCTGCTCCTATAGGAGATTCAGTTGGACATACTTGAATATCGTGTCAAACGCATTATCCACACTAAATGGAGCCTTTTCATCATAAGTTTCTTTGTTAACTACAAAAGGTAGCCTGATTCAGGTGTTGTTTTAACAGTTTCCAAGAAAGTACCAGATTTAAGATACTGAGCAAATCTTCCCACGTCAATGTCTGGAGCAATAAGAAGCACTTTTTCATTTAACTTCCACATAAGGATAAAAGCAGTCAAGTATCTGGTAAAAATGTAGATCAAATAAAAAATAAGATAGAGACAATGGTCAGGAAGTTATATCATGTACAAAGTAAAGGTTTACCGCATCACCAACATACTCAGATATCACAGCAGCAGTTGCTGCCCCACTAATACCAAAACCAAAGGGAAATATCAAAATTGGAGACAATAATGCATTTAGCAAGTTACCGGCTCCTGAAAATCCAGAACTGTTTCTTTGTCAGATATGGAAGTAGAAGAACAAAGGAAAGATTATACTTAAATATTTGGGCCATAACAAAAGAAGAGCCATATTTAGCAGACCATACTGAAGGGGGGGGGGGGGGGCATGCTCAAGTGAAGACAATAATTTGTTAATGTAAAAGCCATACTCTAGCACATCCCACAAGGTAGTAGCATTCCCAAGAGTTGTTTTCTATAGTAACTAAGCTAAACAAGTCTTTGATAAAACTTGGATCTTATCCCTACTTCATCAAGATGTATAAAATCAAATTTAGTCAACATGTAAAGTAGTGCCTACTCACCTATATTGTTGGAACGTTACTTATGTATGAAAGCTTACTATATATTGAGGTTTAATAACAACATTTAGCTCAACTAAAAGTGGGGTCCATATAAACAAAATATGTCCATCTCAACTTTCTCAATGAGCAGTCAATATCCAACAGAAGTGAACAGCTTGAAATGGTTATCTATCCAACAATCCATAAATAATATTTATGAAACATGAATATTAGACACAAGATGTCAGGACAGATTGCACTTGGCCTTTGTTTTATGTAGATTAGAGAAGTATTTGGAAATCTTTGATACTTGCCCACAGCATATAAAGGAGTTTTTGTGTCCTTAAATCCACGAAAAGTTCCTTGAGCAGCAAGTGCTATTACGATTGGTGGAGCTCCAAAGGCCCGCATTGTGAGGAATTGCTCAGCTGGTACACGCATTGGTGAATCCTGCAACACATCAAAAATCCCAAATAGATTTACACACGGAAGATCTTCAGAAAACAACAAGATACATGGGCTATATACCATGCACAGAAAAAGGGGAAGCATAACTCCAAGTGGCTAAATAGGTTCATCACAGTGTCATTCTCCAAGATATACAACCCAAACAAAAAATGCCCTCAATAGCTTACGACTTGGGAATTGGAAGAGAAAAATTTAGTCCTCAGAGAAAATAAATTTCTTTTACAAATTAAGACATACAACAGATATACCCATGGTATTCATCAGGAAACCGGATCCAAAAGAAAGTCCAACAGTTTCTGCAATGCCAAGGCCAAGAGCAAGTAGTAAAGAAGTTGATACTGAAGGAAGTAGTATTTTGCTTTGTGAACCAGGTGGGCGACCTAGTTTAAGAAAAAAATATAATTCATATCAGGTAAATGCAGAATGTTTGATAAATTAAACATAGATGCTTTGACAAACGATCAATCACCTTTAGCAATTAATGACTGCTCTTCAGCAACAAAAGAAGTTGTGACATTGAGCAAAGGAACATTGAATAATTTCGAGATGAGATTGAAAATTGATACCGAAATACCTACTGCTGCCAATTCAACCGATCCTACAAAACACAGGCATACATAAGTAAGACAAACACGAAACACCAACCAGAATGTTGTACTTCATCATTTCAAAATGTTATCCTCTCCTACTTTATTTCAGCCATGTCGGAACAATACCTATTTTCTTAGAGTGGGACCCAATCCTCTAACTAAACTTTAGTTGCAACCCACTTATACAGTATTTAAACTAGTTATACATTTACCAAATTGTAAATAGTAAGTAAAGCACATTTTTAACTTTCATCTTAATCCTAGTAACTATTTCACATTAAATCAAACAAGTTAAGTAATGGTTCCTCCAGGGTTAATTTCATGGATGATGGCTCAATTTTCACTGTATTGCAACGAAGTCACTAAACTACTGTTTGTAACAAAAAAGCCACAGACTTTACCTAAGTATCACGAAATTTCTAAACTATTTTTTTGTTACTCAAAAGTCATTCAATTTTGCCGGAGTATTATAGAACAGTCACTAGGAGGAAACAAACAATACATTTTGCACGATACATAGGCAACATTGAGTGACTTTTTTGTTGCAAAAAGTTATTTAGTAACTTTATGTGATACTTAGACAAAGTTGAGTAGCTTTTTCGTTAAAAAAATAATTTAGTGAATTTGGTGCAATAAAGGAAAAGTTGAGTGACCATCTATGAAATTACCCCGTCTCAGCAGCTAGTTTAAATCAAACAGCTATCAGCTAGTCATAATGTTCTACTATGATCCCTTGGCAGAGGCAGGATTGGAATTGAATTTTTTATCAGCTCACTGGAGAACATAACCATAACAAAAAAAGGATACTATAAAAGTACCTAAATGTCCAACAAATGCAGTATCAACAAGTGAAGTAATGGGATCAGCAGCAAGAGCTAACGCCGCTGGCAACGCAATGGACATAATCTCCCATCCAATTCCATCAAATTTCAGAAGGGAAGTAACCGAATCCAACAATGATGACTGAATGTCTGTATCGGGTCCTGGGTCAGGATCCGGACTCTTGACCCGACTTTCTCCCGAATCGGACTTGCAATTGGAATTGGAATTATCGACTGAAGTTTCGGATAGAACAGTACGATTTTTGTCCCTAGAAGATTTGATTAGTGTAGTACGCAGTCGAGCAGAGCAATTAGTATTATTACTCTTTAATGGAAGAATAGTAGAGTAACAAAAATAATTGTAATTATAATTGTTATGGTGAAGAGACCGTGTAAATAAGGGATTATTTTGGTGGTAAAGAGCAGACGCCATTGTTGCTTATTTGGGAGAAGAAAGACGGTGAATAGAATCCGGATTTTTTTATAAATATCAGTTTGTTTTGGTTATCAACTGAATTAACGGCTGGTATGCGATTTCTACAATAAAATATCTTTTCCAACATTTTGTTAGTAGTACACTAGTACGCTACTTACACTGTACGTACACTTACGATATACAACAACAATAACTACAACAAATGGAAAAACGAATATGTACGCAGACCTTATCCTTACCCCGAGAGAATAGAAAGGTTGTTTCCTAAAGACTCTCGACTCAAAAAGACGAAAAGAGACAATATATCAGTATCATCAACCGATACCAAAGGAATAATAACAACATCATAAAGATCAGAAAATAGAGCAAAAGTAATAACCAGTAAATAGATCCGGCACTGTGAAAAACAGAAGAGTAGTGAGAACACAATATTAATCACTAGCAGTCTAAGACAAAAATCCTATTAGACTAGCCTCACATAGGTAAGAAATAGAAATAGACTCAAATACCTCCTAACCTACAATCCTAATACTCGACCTTCAAATTTTTATTTTAGGTATATTTGTTAATCCCTTCGTTTCATCTTATGTGATCTTGTTTGATTGAAAAGGGGATTCTTATTTGTGCAAATGGTACTTCGAGCTTGGAACGAGCATGAAGAGATTAACGATACTTAAGAAATTTAAAAATTGTGAGCTAAAATATATTTTGATATTCTTGTGCTTATAAAATTATATCAGTAAAGATAAAATAAAAGGTTTAAGATTAGATTATTTTTAAATATTCAAACTAAAAGGAAAATAGTATTAATATAAAATAAAGAGATTTTTATATTCCTATACACTATATGAAACTATATTACCCTTCTTACTCAAGTTTTACTATAATTACATTTTATATACCAATTACCATTTATGCACATTTTAAGGGAATTAATGATAATAATTAGTATCCTAAAATCACTCTAACGTATCTTCCACACACACCCCACGTTTCTCTCTCCACATCCCACGCCC